TGAGCCTTAAAGCTGCCCTAAACCTAAGGTTCGAGGAAGTTGTGACACAATGCCTCCTATGCCACCCTAAACCTAAGCTTGCTATGGCCATTTCGATCTTGCAATTATTTTCTATAATTATTAATTGATATAACTGAAATTATTTATTTACAATATTATTTAGTTATTTAAATAATATTGTTATTTAAAATTTTAAAATATTAATTATTTATTGAATTTAATAATCCATAAAATTATAATTAGTACTATTATTACATAATTTGTTATTAATTTTGTAAAATATTAAATTATTATTAATATGAATATTATGAAATCTATTATAATTATTTTTCTACTTTTAAGAATTCTTTTTAAATTTATTACATAATTTCGTTATTTTAACTATTTAAAATTTAGTCATGTTAAATATTTTGTTATTTAAATATTTAAAAATTTTGATTATTTGAAATTTATTTATTTTAAAGTTATTTCATAATATTAAATATTTCCTTATATAATTATTTAGCTATTTTTAATGCTTTGTTATTTAAGATATTTAGTTATTGAAATATTTAAATAATTTTTTAATTTTATATTTTTATTATTTGAATAATATTTAAACATAAAATTATAATTTATATTGTTACTATATAATTTTATGATGAATTTTGTAAAAATATAGAACTATTAATAATATGTATATTATTAAATATATTATAATTAATTTTTGTGTTTTGAATAAATATTTTAAAGTTAGTATATAATTTCGTTATAATATTTAAATAATTCTAAAATTTTTTAATTGAAACTTTCTTTAGATAGGTGTAGATAAAAAGTGGGAGAGAGGATAAATAGGAATTAGAGATAGTTTAGGAGAAAATCCGTCTACTAAATTAGAGATAATTTAAGAGATAAATAGGAGTTAGAGATAATGTAGGAGATATATAGGAATTAGAGACAATTTAGGAGAAAGTGAGGGAAAGCGGTGCCACTTGGATAAACTTTAGAAAAGCAAACTCCTATTTCTTTATGGTTTTAGAAATAGTTAAGCCTATGGTATTTCCTTATTGATTTAATGGGTAATTATGTGGAATTAAAAAATAAAAACTTCAAAAAAACAGGAAATTAGGAAGAGGGTTTGGAGCAAGGAGAGGCATGGTGACGTGGACTGTCTTGCTATATATATATATAGATAGATAGATAGATAGATAGATAGATAGATTGTCAATTGAGTATAGGTGTATTATATATGAGGTGAGGCGGGGCAAGTTTGATATCCCCTATCATTGAACTGAGTCACGTCAGCTTTGGGTTAAGGTTGCTTCAGGTCGGGGTCAAGTTGAGGTAAAACCCACACCAGACACAACATGTTAATATCCCTATTCATTAATAAAAAAAAACTGATAGAAATAATAAGGTCTGGTTTTCTTTTCAGAAAGTCATTTATTTGGGTAAATGTGCTTACTCAGCGGGCAAATGCTTAATGAGAAACACTTACTTGGATAAATGAACTTAGGGTCTGTTTGATTCGCTATCAGAACCGGAATGGTCTATTGCTATAGTCTGTTTGGTCCAGACAAGAATGGGAATGGGAATTAGAATCAGCAGGAATGAGACTTCATTCCTAGGGGAGGGGCAGGGAATGCATCAGGAATGGGAATGGGATTCTGATTCCGCCCAACCAAATGGTTGGGATTGGAATAGTCCATTCCAATTCCGATTCCAAATCTCTATTCCTGCGAATCAAATGGACCTTATTAGTATTCTTTTGTTTTTTTTGGGTAAAATTAATGGTCATTTTATTAGTGAAAGTGTCATTATTAAATGTCCCATTATATGTTAACAATTTTCGCTGAAAATTTGTTTTCCAAAAAGGGCCTAGGTATTATAGAGAATCATTGTTTTCCGTAAAATCCACTACATTTGGATAGATACCAGTTCGGAATTGATGCCAATACACAGACAGGTATTGGTATTTAGGGTGGGGGTATTTGACATTTTGAATTATTGTAAGTCTTTATTAGAATTCACTGATCAACTCAGTTGCCCCTATTTACCAAAAAAAAAAAGCCTAATAGTAACTGATGATGATGCCTTCAATCTTTTGTCCCTTTTGGATTAAAAAAAAATCTTTTATTAGCCCCTTCTCATCTCACCTTAGCCAAGTACAAAGGATGGAATATCCTTATATGCTATCCACACAACTTCCAACACGATGTACAGTCACATATTTTAAATATAATTACTATCTCATAAGTAAACAGTTAAAAAAAAACATGTTTGGGATGTGTAGTTCTAGACCAATTCGCAAGCTGTGTGGGTGGAAGCTCTTCTCTCCAAGTCAGAATTAAAATAAAATGTAACCGGAATATTTACTAGAAAGGCATGATGATATAAGGTATTGATTGCCTTCTAGAGTAGCTTTTCTGAATATTTCTACTTCACGTTAAACATTACTCCATTAATGCTTGCTTTTACGGGTATAATAAGACTAATATACAACCCTTTTATGGTTAGAGTTTGTTAATTCAATAAGTAATCATAGTGTGTTGTGTATTCACTTTATTATTGCGTCTATTTGATCTCTTCACTCCATTTACTTCAACACATAAGCAACCAAGTTGAAGCAAATGCAGATAAACAAATATAAATTTCTCAGTATACAAGTGGGTAATCAGTAATTAAGAAAAAGATTAATAAGATGAGTTGAACAAATGAATAAATTATGAACAAAGGGAAGTGAAATTCTCAAATTTTAAATGATACTGCCTTTCTTTCACCCATTTTGCTTAATTTGCTTCAAACCAAAATAAAAGTAGAATTATTCCCCTTTTATGTCCATTCTAGTCATTTTTTTCAATATAATTTATGACAATGCTGTTGCACATTGGCCAGAGTTGATGCATTGGAAACATTAGCCCCTTAGATAATGGTTGCCTGATTATTTAGACCTACCCATGAACCATGATTTGATTTTTCTTGAACTGCATACTATTCATGAATGACAGGCAGATCAAGCAAACCTTATTATTATCTACCTGTTAATTTCTACCATAAATTAGATCAGCAATATGTAATGAATTAATAAATCCATAAAATTATTGATACCAAGCAGATGGAAACAACAAATGGACTTCTAGATTTAACAAATTGAACTACTAACCTGGCAACTGTGAAATTGAAAAAAAAAAAAGAAAACAAATCTTTTCTGTTCCGTCTTTTAACCAAATGAACTTCCTTGTTGTGGATTTCTTACCCTTTTTGGCTTTATTCTTTTTTCTTTTTTTTTTTTCTGTGGGTGGGTTTGAAGAGTTCAACTAGCGCATTCTTACATGATGCACATGGGATCCTCGTCATCATTCTTCTATATTAATCGTCAAGTTGAGGTTTGACTGTTTGATGTTGGAACAGTTGGAACGTAGCTCTGACTGATGAGGGGTAGACCCCCATCGAATCCGGGTTGGCAGGAATCCACGCCGCACATGTTGCTGCGGTTCTAGTCCCCGGTCACGGTCTCTAGGCGCTGCATCCCAGCTTAGACGGCACGGTTTCCGATTGCCCTAGGCGCACGGAGCCACACCCTGGTTTCGGCCTTTCGGGTTTCCCTGCCTTTATAATTGCTCTGTGCTCACGACTCAGCTATTCAGGTCAAAAATCAACCTTTTCAGCCTTCCATCTCTCTCTAAGCCAAAACGCGGAAAAGAAGGTCAAAAGGTGAGACCGAGAAATAGAAGAACAAGGCGACAACAACTTCCCTTCCGTTCTCATCTCTTGACACGTTTGTTTCCTTGCTCTCTCTCTCTCTCTCTTAGAACGTCCAAAATCTGGAAAGAAATGACAGAGACGGGTTTGAGCTTTAGACTTGAATCAACGGCATCTTCCTCATCTTCTTCTCCGACCAAGCAGGGTGGCAGCGGCGGAGGCAACAGCAGCTCCATGCTCGTAACGAAGTTAATCTCTTCGGAGTGCGCGAAGAATACGGGCTATGAGAAGCTCCCCCGATCCGTGAGAACCACGGAAGCTGATGAATGTGGTGACGCAGCCAACCTCAAGAAGAACATAGCCTGGAAATTTCTGAGCCGTATGATCTGCAAGCAAGAAAAAATTGGTGATGGCAGTGATTCTGGCAGCGGTAGTAGCAGTGGAGTTGAAGGGGTCAAAGAAGACGATGGTAGCACTTCGAAGGCCGAGGTGAAGCAGAAGAAGAAGCGATCTTCATGGCTGCCAGACCCAGAGAGGAGATGGCCCGTCCAGGGATGGTAAAACTGTGGGGACGTTGGAACTTTGAAGGAGGACAAGGAAATTGTAATTTTATTTTAATTTTATGATCATTCTGGATAATCTGATGTTGTTGATATTCCTTCATGGGGTTCTCTGATCTCCTTTAGCTGAATAGCAGGTTGATATTGAATTATTGATGGGAGGATATATGTATAATGAGTATGTGTCTAAAATATGTTAAGTCATAACTGCTTTAATTAGAGGAGGAGGAGGAGCGGATGGATAAATGAAATAGCAAATACCACGTTTAAATGTATGGCCTTTGCCTGCTCTTTTTTCCACTCTTTCCAAAACGAAGGCGTGATCCGTTGCTGTGGTTCTCTTCAGTGGAAACTATATGTTACAGGCCTTCAAGTCTTGACTCTTGAGCGAAGGAACCTGTTTCCTTGAATGTAGGGGGGAGGGGGATAAGAGCCTCTTTGCACTTGCCAGCCCCAGCCACGGTCCCCGGGCTGTTACCAACACTGCAATAGGCGTAGGACATACATCTCATGGGCTCATAGGCGCCCGATACAAAACACCAAAAAAACAGGTGTAGGACATACATCTCAAGAATTCAAGGTCTCGGGCACTAGCTTATGGCCAAGTGACCAACCTTCACTGCGCCTATGAGATATAGGCTAACCGCAAGGAACATCTCTGCTGATCATTACAACCATCAATTTCTCAACGGTGGTGCTGTTACCAACACTGCAACAAGGGGATTACGAATTAGTTTTAAGAGAATTTATGCACCATACTAGAAGGGGGAAAGGAGAGAAGTAAATTTGATTAGAAAAATAGTGTTTTGAAGAATGTACATTCAGCTAGAATGCACAACATAAAAAGCATTCAAGCTGGTTATCTTCTTTCCCTGCAAGCAGAGTCGGTAACACTGTAACAGTGAGCAACTAAACGCCCATCTAACCAGGACCCAAGCCAGTCATTCCACAATATCCAACTTTTATATGCACAATACAATACAAAGTAGTTTTCCTCATTAACGTTGTTTTCATATGTACAGTATTTACTGGTTTTGTTCCTTCGTGGTTGACCAACTACCAGGCAGCTCTCCCTCCAGTGAACGAGTTCATTAGAAAGATGATATATGTATCAATGAAACATTTCATCCTTTTTAATCGAAGTCGAGTGCTGGTCTAGTTGCTCGCCGGAACCATGTGTTGAAGGCTGAGACCAAGTGCGGGCAGTCTTCAATATTACGGGTGCAGAAGCTAAGGCAAAGTGGCAGCAATTCTTGTGCATCCGACATAGGCAGTGTGGAAATTATCCTGAGGAATGTCTCCTCCAGTTCCTGGCAGAGTGATTTACGATTGGGCAGAACTGGTGAGCCCTTGTCTTTGCAAACAATCAGCACTGGGAGCCAATCCTTCACAAGCCTCATCCTAACCTGAAAATTCAACATGAGATTGTCCTCAATAACCCCAATATCCAAAAACAATTAATAAATTTGAAGAAATTCCTATGTTATCCATATAAATGAACAGGTGATATTCCACAATACTGTAATTAAGTAGCTTTGAGGAGTTTGTTCTTAAGATGCTTACACTCCAGATAAATAAACTCACAGGTTTTTTATTACTAACTCATTCATGACTTTAAAGCTCCCATCAACTCACATTTAAATGGACTTGGGTCCAAAGTATAAATAAAGAGAAAAGTAGCAATTAAAAATAAGAAAGGCGAAATAATATTCATTTGATCAGAATCTCTATCTGAATATCAAATGGTTTACAAAACACACTAAAAACCACAAAAGGAAATCATGGATTTGTAACCAGGAATTCAAAGACTTTCTGCTTTTAGTTTTCGGAAAAAGAGGATTGCTAATATCCTACTCCCCCAAGTAGAATTAGAGATGTAATCTCACCTTTGCTTTTAGTGTGCCCATGTAAGGTGGTGTAATTACCAAACCACCTCATCTGAAAAGACAAAAACACCCTGAACATGGACATGTGTAAATGCTCATAAAAGCATGATTAACAGAAGACATGGCATGAACATATGATACCAATATAGATTGCACCAAGAACAGAGCATTTTAAGAGAGAGGGAACGAGGAGAGAAACCAATACCTCCTAGCTACTTCCGAACAGAAAGCTCAGTTCAATTCCATATTCCACTTTACCAATCCACTACATTTGGAAGGCCCTAAGTACATATTTAAATCAACAGGTAGGCAAGACCATGTAACTAGGGCTTTCTGCATTCATGCCACCATGGTTTTGCACAACCCCCCTTTTGTTTTTCTATTTAACATTGATTTCTCCATGTTCCAAAATATGAAGTGACAAAACTGCCCTTAGATCACCAATATTTGAAAAAGAAAGGCAAGCCTTTGTATTTTTAGTTTTTATTTTAATTTAGAAATCTTTGTACCATCTTTCAACTAACAAGCCAAAGTTTCCTCCCAAATGAAAATAAATTGACTGAAAATGAAAAGAAAATATAAATGCATTGAATTCTAAATTAAACAAAAACAAAAGTATAAATGATTTACTCCATTTTATTTAGAGATTTAAAGGCAGCTTTGTCACTTGATGGTTTGAAATGGTGATTTTAGGTTGCTTTAAACAGAAGGGATTGGTAATCTAAACTAATAGAACCGGGGAGGGGGGGCCGTCAAGGCAAAATCAAAAACACAAAGGAAAATATACAGAATCATCCTGGGGACATGGACGGGGGAAGCCTATCTAATTATTTAGCATTGACATAGACCAATAAACTGGTCATGACTTTCTGATATCAGGTTCGCAAGATCTTGTTCTTTGTGTATAGGTAACTCAGAAATCTATCTAGTGACACCAAAATAAAGGCAAAATAACTTTGACCTTTTATAGTTAACCTGAAACACGTAAATGCAACCATAAGTTTCCTGAAAATCTAAAGTCGTAAATATGATTCATTAAAAGCTAGATAGTTACACTCAAAAAGAAAACCAGACTCAACCTAGAGCCGAAGAAAACAAACAAAAATTATGAAACTACCCCTTCAGTAGGGGTGGCCACGAGCCGAGCTCAAATATATATATATATATAATAAAATTATAGAAAATACTATAATTCTTAATTTTTTTAATATCAAATAAAAAATGTTTTTTAAATATAATTTTTATTTTTATAAAACATTTTTTCTCAAATTGAGCTCGAGCTTATGAGTTTTTGACTCGAACCGAGCTCGAGCTCAAGCCTCGTACTATTTGGCTCGGCTCGGCTCGAATCCACCCCTGCCCTTTAGTAGGAAAACTCTAAGATAATTTAAGATAATTGGGATTTTCAAATCCAGTAGGATCTGAAGTAGCTTGGGGCCCCACAAATAAAATTAAGAATATATTTTGACTTGGTGCTTCCCCATTTCCAGATTTTCTTCAAATTCATGTTCATGGAAGAATATGCTCATTCTTTGGAATTCCTGTCCTTAAAGTGGTTCTTCTTTGGTCAAAATCCATACAACATCTTTATGCAGGTTTCCAAGAAATTCTAATAATAGTCAAAATAATGTCCTTGTAATCATGCCTCATCAAATGGCACCACATCTTATTCCTTTATATTAAATGGTACCATCCATTCACCATTTATAAAACTCAGCTCAAAAAAGCTCTATACCAATTACATGGGTCAGCATGAATCCTATTTTGCAATTCCACTACCAAAGGCCATATCCTGTTAATCTGGTAGTCCTAAAATCTTTTCTTGTTGGCTCAACCAATGCCTTTCCCAGCCTTCCCTTGCCTCTTCAAGAACCATAAACTTGCATCATATCATTCTTTTTTATTGGTGCAGTAGGTGGTTCATATCTTAACATGCAGAACCCATCTTAGCTTACTTTCCCTTATTTTATCACCCATTGGGGTCACTTATAGATTCTCACAAACGCACTACCAATTCTGGCCTTTCTAGTTTTACCAGTCATCCATTTCAACATCCTCATATCCAGTATGAAATTTTATAGGAAAGGAAACTTGCTTCTTGACTACCCAACAATACTGTGTTCTAAAGTTTTACCTTTCAATCTGATTTCCATCCACTCTGCTCTAATTCTGTGAACAGCAAGCCTTTAAGCCTCTCCCTCACTATGAATTATCAAACCAAGGTAGTGGAAGTCTTTAATATTTCACACTTCTGAAAATGAAGTATTTTAACAACATATTTCATAATATACAAAATAAACTCCACAAGCATGTTGGACCCTCAGATTAAGCTTGAGATGATCAAAAAGCATGTATATGACTCCATGTCATAAATTACATAACCCACACAAAATGAGCTATGCTGATGAACTGATCTGCATAGGCAGTTAACCCTACTCATTTTTTCGGTTTAAAGTAATCCATTGCAATAATTTGTATATGCCATAAAATGCAAATCTGAGATTTGGTCATGTAACTGTAAGCAATCTCATTGCAATATAAGTTCTTTGTAGGCATTTGCTATTCTTTTTTTTTTCTTTTTCTATTCAGATGTATCTCAAATAAAAAAACCCTGCCTTTTAGGCTTCAGTCAATCTGAGACACAGCTTCATTGCATATTATATCTGTCAAAAGGGGGCAAGGTAACCTTAATTAAGCGCAAGATTCAAAGTATTAATACAGTCCGATACGCTGAATTGGGCATATCAGATTTTGTATCAACACACATTTATTTATTTTTAGTTTTTTTCCAAACATGTTCAGGGGGGGTCAGTTAAAGGCCTGACTATCCCTTGAAACAGGTCTTACCCTGAAACTCCCCTTATTTCGCCTGTCAATGACCCACTTATACGGGCCAATACATATCGGTACTTTGAACCTTTATTAAAAGTACGCCATCTTCTCTCCCAATAGTGGCCTTTATCCTACCTAGGACTTCCCTTAGGTGCTGTGCTAATCCAAAGGAAAGTAGGTTCTAGAATCCAATGGTGGAAAATTTTGAAAAAAGATTGGTAGCTTGGAAGAGAAACTATATTTCCTTGGGGGGTAGAGTTACTTTGATTAAGGCAACTCTAGCCAACTCGCCAATATACTTCCTATCAGTTTTCAGAATCCCTAAAAGGGAGGCAAAGAGGTTGGAAAAATTGATGAGGAATTTCTTATGGGAACCTGGGGAAGAGAAAGAAGACCACTTGATTAGGTGGGAGGTGGTGAGTCAAGTAAGAAAGAAGGAAGTCTAGGATTAGGGAATGTAGTGAGTAAGAACAAAGCTCTTTTAGGTAAGTGGCTTTGGAGGTGGCCCCTAGAGAGAGAGAGAGGTTGTGGCATGAAGTAGTAAAGAGTATCCATGGTTGTTCAGAATCAGGTTGGGATGTCGAGGTATCCCGAAGGGCTTTGCTCACAACACCCTGGAAGGCAATTTCTGGCATTATCCCCAAATTCCTCAGGTTTGTAAGATTTGATGTTTGTTCTGGAAACTCTGTTCTTTTTTGGGAAAATATTTGGGTAAGCACTCAACCCCTAAAAGACCGTTTTCCTTCTCTCTATTCCATCTTCCTCTTTAAAAAATTGAGGTTCCTTCCTCCCCCCTCCCCCCCCTCTTCCTCCTCCTCCCCTTCCT